ACCTTAGGGATGTTTTGTCAAAGTGAATTGTCTTTGATGGGGGTTTTTAAACTGTGGGAGAACTACCCCTCTCACCTGCTTCATGTTCTTAACTCATCCATGTTTCACTGATGTGGTGGGATTCACCTGTTTTAGCTATGTGTAGCACCACATGATGTTCTTGAGCTGCCTCGTCATTTACAGCGCTAAAGTATGAACAACTTTCTAATGTGAATGCAGTTCATTTAGCTTTAGGTGAAAAACTTCCCGAGGTTTTGCAAACAACACTGTGGCAGTGGAGCATCTTAAGATCCAGTTCATGAAAGTTCCAACTTTAAGTAATTATGGTGATACTTCCTTCTTTTTATTTTGCTTGGCCCAGACTGTCTTCCTACTCACCATTGCTTTAGGTCCTGAAAAACAAAACAAAACAAAAAAATCGACCAGTTTTGCCTCCAGCGTAGGGCATAGGCTTGGCCAAGTCGGCTAAATTTTTGAAGTTACTTTTTCTGGTTTATTTTATTCCTCAAGTCTAAAAAAGCCCTGGCCAAGGAGGTACTGTCACTGCAAATTACACCATGTACAAGTGAGCTTTTAAGAACCACTAATTTATTGATCTGTGGGAAGAAACTAGTCCACCAACGAATTAATAGACAAACCACCCTACAATAAAGCTTCGCTTTTCTCAGGTGTATCCATCTTTTCAGAATAACACAAGTCTTTCATTGTTCACTGCTGCTTCCTAAGCGTTGCAGTAGGTTTGAACTATGGTGATAAATAATTGGACACAACCAAGGGCAATAAGCTGCCTATTTTACTGTAAGAAAGTGCTGGTGTGACTTCCGCAGGCTGCTTTATAACAAGGGGAAAGTGTTGTTGGAGGGATATGGGAACAGTGAGCGACACAACAATAAACAGAGGGGACGCTTTCTTAACAATGTGATTAGGGGGGTTTATAGGAGGCAAGAAAGTTGTTGATGGAGAAGACAGGAGACGACTGAGGGAGAGGGAGGGGGTCAGCTAAAAACTAAAGCTCATTGTTAGGCAGGTGATTTACGAGGGTACAGCAGCTCCCAGGCCCTGCCATTGGAAGGACAGATCTTCTGTCGCTATAGCACCCGCAGCCTTTTGTATCCATTGTTCCTAGACAGGACTTTGCGGTGGGAGGGGAGTTGTTGTATGGATGGAAGTGGGTGGAGGGATGGAGGGAGACTGGAGCGATTGCTGGTTGCCATTGCAGAGCCAAGGCTTGTACATCTTCAGCACAGATCAAAGGCTGCACTGTTCCCACTCTGTAAAGCTCAGAACCTTTGAAAACTCCTCATAACATTCGACCGAGGGCACAATGCGCCTCTACCAGCAGCCCATTAAACAGACCCTCAGAGACCAAGGCATCTACATTTTATGACACCCGTGAAGCGACAAATTATCCCCACGTTTTCTTTTCCATGAATTTGAAGATGGTATCTTTGTATGTGCTGGGCAGCAGCCACAGGCGGATAGATAAGCAGTCCAGCGTGTGGAATGAGGTCACCTTCTCATCTAGCGCCAAACAGACACCATTTTCTGAGTGCTGCCTGCTTTTGTCAAAACACGGTCACCAGTCAACACTTGACCTTTCATAGCCTTGATCATAATGCTCCTTCTGGCTAAAATCAATTACTACGGGCAGAGTCACATTAAGCAACAAAAGGGCGCAATCTCTGTGTGTGAGTGATCACATGTTGGGGGGCGTCCATGGATTGAGATTCTAAGGTGTATTGTTCCATGTCACTGAGTCTACACAAGTAATTTCATCAGACACGCTAATGGACTCTCCAACAGCATTGTCCTGACGATCCTTCTCGAATGGTGAAGAATAAACAGTAATTCTCCTCCTCGATGGGTATTCATAAAGTGTTGTGTCAAGGTGAATGAGGATCGGCGCTCTGCTAGAAACTGGAGCAGAAATCCACCATGCTCTTTGGTACAGAGAAATTCTCGACACCTCTTAATTCCCTTATGAAATGGACTTATTCTGAAACCCAAAGTCAGGATCAGATGGCAACACACCATCTCCACTTGACGCACTGTAAAAATACAGCGTTGCGTAGAACTGTTACTGCCCCTTCGGTTTTTCCACATGTCATCATGTTACAACCAGAAGCTACGGTTAACAGGATTTCATGGGTCACACCAACAGGAAGTGATGCACAATGGTGAATCAGAAAGAATCGCAGATTTTTTTGTTAGATCTGGACTGGATTTTTAATATGGGGTGTCAGAGTAAAGACAACTGAAAACACATTCACATTAAACTTTTTCAAATTTTTCAAACATCTATAACTGTATATTGGAATTATACAGTAGTTTGTGTTGACCTGCCGCTTAATCCCTCCAAAATACTCTGTATAAATACTTTTGAAAGAAGTAAATGCGATACATCCCCGCTCACTCTGTGACAATGTCAAACCATCACAATATCATCTTTTGTATCATTAGAGTGCTGTGTAGTACTATGATTCAACAGAAACTAACCAGAGTAGAGGAGAATGAAAAGAAAAAAAATGTCCTGTGTTCAATGCAGTATGTAACAATATGTTGAAAGCCTCCATCCAACATGAGCTAAAGATAATTGGGCTCGTGTTTATTTGCTGCACACTCAGCCGCCTGTGTTAATGAGCTGATAATAATGATAAAGGCAGATAAAAGTGTTCGCTGCCCAGCAATGTTTAGGCCTCGTCCTTTCATAGCTCAGTGCCCTGTAGAGGAGTGCTATCTAGATCAGTGCCTTATCATGCTCATTAGTTGTCTACTTTCATCTCATTTTACTAATCAGACTTACTCCAGCCTTTTCCTCCATGACCCCAGCTTTAAGTAATGTCAGACCTCATTGAGTCTGGCACTGGGGTTGTGAATCTAAACCCTCAGTTAGCGATCCACGGTCGGCTTTAATCCATCATTCCGCCTCAGGATTGTGTGAGAGTGTGTGGTGAAAGCTGAGCGAGGAGAAGGCAGAGATGAAGGGAACAACCTGATGCATTTTTTATCCCCTCATGTGTACGTCGAGTAGAACGGGTTCTCACGGCACGTATCGCCTCCTAGACACCCCCCGCCCACCTGCCTTGCAACCAAATTGGTTTCGAATTAGTTTCATTTGTGATCGAGACATTTCAGACGGGAGTAAGAACGAGTTTCATCAGTGGTGCCAATTACACAAGTTGGCGTCTTAATGTACAAGTGGCGAGGGTTGAGAGATGTTTGTCAGTACACCACGTCTATTGCGTTACGTGATGTTGCAGGGAATCCCAACATTCAAAGATGGCCAACATGGAAAATGGTGATAAACTAACCAGGGGTGGTGGAGGGCATCTTCCTGGTCTTGGGTTTGGTCTTGATCTCAGAAGAACTGACTTTGACTCCATGCCTTGATTTGACATATTTATTGCTCTCATTGTTTGTTTGTTTTTTCTTTATCATGCAACCATAATGAAATGTAAGCTGAAGAATTCAGCTTAGAGATTGCGTTTAGTGTGGCTGCATTTAATGACGCGAATATTAGCGCAATATGACATTTATGACAGTGTACTAAGAAGCAGTATTGCTTGAGTAATTAATTGTTTTTCCATTACATTTTGCATTTTGTGGTGTACAATCAAAAAACAATGTCATGAAATATTTATTGAACTATAAACATTTAACCCTGGTCTTGGAAGGTCTTGGCCTCTGTCTCAGCAGAACTGGCCTTGACTCCAGGCCTAATCACAATGTCCCAGTAAGATCCTAACAAGTTCTAAACATAATTTACTTAAATTGAAATTAATCAATTTGTGTTCATATTTCAGCAACTAAACATTCTGAACAAGGTTCATTGCTTCAACATGAACTAGTTCTTGTTCACTTATTATATTTTGTTTAAAATATAGAGTAAAATTATTTATGGAGGTCACAATACCATTTATGAATTTGAAAACTGATGACATCATTACCAAGCATTAGAAACCAACCTTACTATTTATCTTAGCTCGCTGAACATAGAAACATTGTGTCTGTTGAGACTTTTCTGTTAAAACATGTTAGTCATTAAGTGAAGCATCTAGAGGTTGGTAGAGTAGCCAGACCTCCTCAAGTAAGAGCAGGATTACATAAAAACGGTAATATAATTGTGAAGGGCACTGGAACACAACCACATAGAAATCACACACGAGAATTTCTCTTCGCTTTGCTTATTAAAAAGGCAAAATGTTGCTGAGCTGATGGGGAGAATGTTTGTACGACCACTGGGTTTCTTTCAAGAAATCAATATAATGTTGGAACAAGTCCTTCAAAAGAGGGAAAAAAAACTAATGTTTGAGTTTAGGTTTGCTTATAATATAAGTTGTTAGGAGGGATTGCTTTCAAGCAATTTCTGTTGAGTTAAGGGTTCAGTTAGATTTCTAAATGGTAATTGGCCTTAATTTGTATAACGCATTAGCAAGCCTAAGGATTCCAAAGCACCTTTCTTTGCATTTAATCATTCACACATCACCTCTTGATAGTAAGCTGCATTGTAGGAGGGTACAAGCCCTGGTTCCACTCATAATGCCTGAAAAACGTTTTCAGCCATCAGAAAAAAAGGCAACATCCACTACAGAGCACCACCAGGCAGCTTCTGAGACCGGTGGGCGAGAAGAGATAAGACGGGAGGGCTAAGATTGGGGAGGTGAAGGGAGACAAAATGAGAGGTTGAATCTCATCAGCTCCCTTTTTAAAGATGAGTCACCACAGAGGAGATTATTGCACAACATCCAGGACAGCGGGTTCAGACAATGGGAACAAGTGTCCCAAATCACCGGGAAATTAAACAGAGATTACAGAATCCCTGCAATCATGAAAAAGTGATGACCACGAGCAAACAGGGAGAGGAGATGAGCTTGCTCAGATGGAAGAAGGGAGGAGGTGCGGCGAATGAGCACGAAACGCTGGTTTGAACGAGTCAAACGGAGCCGCGGGAGGCACTGGGGGGGAGGAGAAGCGTTGGCCACCATGTTGGTGTCGTTTACCTGCATCACCACTTGCTGCCATGCCAGTGGCTGACTGATGGCGGGGTTGGGTGGCAGATTGGCCCGCTCAAGCTGCAGGGTGACGTTGCGGCGCTCCTCCTCTAGGGCTCGGGTTAGCTGCTCAAAACGCTCCTCCTGCTCCTTCACCGAGGCCAGGATGCTGGCGGCAGAGCGAACGTCATAGTCCTCCATGGGCAGAGTTGACGGATGCTTCCATTACAGGCAGAGAGGGAAGAGAAAGAGGGAGGGAGGGAGGGAGGGGAGGAGGGGTACCAGGTCATTACAAAACACCCAGACCCAGCTGGCTGGATGAGTGGCATGAGGCTGAACATCACAACGTCAAATGTGAGAGTTAATCACAAACCAGGAGAAGCCAATGATGATTCAGGATTTAGCAAAGCATCTTCTGAACAAAATTCCAGCATGATGGAAAAATATGGTTGACTGGAAGACTAAAGGTGCACTGGCCTAGTTTAGTCCACTTTCACTGAACTCTAGTTAATTTGTCTAGAAAGTCTGGTTCATTTGGGGACGTGTGAATGCGTAATTGAACTATGAATGCAGATCAAAAAAGTGAACTCTGGTTAGCATAAAAACCTATATTTCTGCTTGGCTGAAGTGAATTCTGGTGCGGTTCGAATGCATATGTGAATGACAAGCGAACAAGAGACCGCTCCATTCTGGTTAAATAAAACCAAAACTATCGCTAGTGTCTAGCGTTAGCAAGAGAAACGGCTCGCGGTCTTTTAGCAAAGACAAAAGAGAAATCCTGCAACTGCTAAAATATGACACTACTCCATTTTAGTTGACATTTTGTGAACGAGGAAGTTGTCCTCAGTGTCTTCCTCAGAGGTTACTGTGACATTTCTTTCAGTAGTTCTTGGTGCAGCGCCACCACAGGCAAAGGGCTGAACAGGTTCTTCATTTGATGTGTAATGTGAAAGCGAACCGCACCAGCTAAAATGTAATAAATGTTGCAATTTTGGTCCCCAATCGAACCGACTCTACGGACTTTCACATGCGAAAACATCCTAAAGATCTGGGGTCATAGGTCATTGTGCCCTTTTTCCCAAAATTTATTTGGCTACTTTAATGCCAAAGCCTTGAGGGCACATGATTAAATCCTTTTCTCCATGGAGAACTGCATGGAAGCCTCAACTCGAGGCCAGCAAGGCGAAGTCATTAATGAGGATGCTCAGCTGGGTGCTGATATTGTGCATCAGAAGCTTTAGCCCATCACGTCATTAAGACACTGTTACTCCTGATGAAATTCAAACAAAATGAAATGAAACGGCACATTACACACTCAGGAAAAGCAAGTATTCTTGTTTTTGGGCTGCAAAGAGGGGTGAAAGGAATGATGTCACAGCTCCAAATGATCAATAACAGCCAGCATGGAGAAGCGGCGCTCTCATTGGTTACAGTCATGCACGCAGCCATTACGCTTTCCGACACGCAAGCACAGTTACAGGCCAAACGTCCAACATATGCAAGTTTCCCGCAGCCATCATTTACAATCACACACACACACACACACACACACACACACACTGATATCCATTACTGATGGAGGCATGATATCAGGAGGCTGACGGCACGGCAACAAAGGAGGCTGGAAATACAAATCCACAACAGTATGGGCCAAGGAGATAAGCAGGTGTTAGAAAACAGTTGGTCACCTCAGTTTTAATGGAGCAGAGTGATGAACCAAAACCAAGAATGGAGAGCTGGTAGGAGGGGAGGGAGAAGAACAGAGAGAAAAGAGAAAAGGCAAGACATTTAAAAAAATATCTGAAATGAAAATAATCAGACAGCATGTCTCCAACTGTCTTCTCTTTCACGTGGTTGCAAGTTAACATGAAAAGAACAAGTGACCCATTATCTGGGCAAAGAGAAGTAAAAATGTTTAAAATTATACAGATTAGACAAATTTGGTATATGTGTAGAGTTTATATTTTATAATACACGTTTTCAAAGTGACATGAAATCACTGAAAAAGTTTACAAAAATCTAATATTTAGCACAATCAGTGATGCCCTCAACAATCCTTTGGTTATAATAAAGGTTACTGAAGGGTTTTATGATTAATGCTTAACTTTTTTAAATTTCTCCAGGGGATGAATACGGCATTACATCGAGGACTATTTTGTTTTAGTCCTCGATTCTTACAAAAGCCTCCTCAGTGCTATTTTAAGGAAAATTATTTAATACTTCAGCAGGGCATATTGATGAACAAATACAACATATTTGTTATTATACCAGATTATAATCCAAAGCTAGTTTCCATCTGCTTCTTGATGCCAAGATACACACATATGACACTAGCCGTATGACAAAATGCCCCTGAAAATGCACCCACAGATTTATGTACAACAATAATTGCCTGACCCATTTTTATTAAAAAAAATTATATATATAATTGATCAACAAAGTATAGACAGTATATCAATAATTGTACCATCAGTGATTTTATAAACAATTATGAAAACTAAAGGTTAGATACGTTTTTTGTCAAGGATTATGACAACGCTATGAAAGATTTATTTAGCAACTTTTCACACACCTTTAAGAAATGTGTCCATGACTTTGTATCTTTAAGGTTTTCACTGCTGCTAGTGATCAACAAAAGGTTCTCAATACTTTTGTTAATACCAAATTCTTGAATAAAGGCCACTGTATCCCAGCTACTTGGAAGACCAACAAACTTAAAATGATGAAAAAAACCTCACTTATCACCCAGCTCCACCTTCACCTCGGTCTTTATCGTATAAATGTTATAGCAGATGGGATTTTTAGAATTAAACACAACATAAACTCAAGAACCTCTTCTGTCCCTGCATTTAAAAAAAAAAAAAGAACAATTTTACAAGAAGCACTCAACAGATCCGGCATAAAAATCTCACGCAGTAAAGACAACGTTATGTGACACATCGTATCAAAGCATACTGACCATGTCACAGGGACAAAGATAGTGGACGGATGGCTCGGCTCTGCTGGGAGCGTCAGCACAGGCGGAACGGTTTGAATTTTAATCAGGCCGGACTGTGGAAACGGGGTCCACGACGTGTCCGCCTAAGACTGTGTGCACATGAAAAGTAGTCATTCTTTACTACGGGACCTGCTGAGCACAAAGCCCTTATTCCCTTTGAAGCGCACAATCCCCCTTTGATGATTGTTGCATGCTTATCATTTATTTATCCATTCTGCCTCTTCCATTCGGAGTGGTGTGTGCCAAGGAGACTGTGCTCCGAAAGTTAAACTCAAACATCCATCTGAATATAAAAGATGGCTGCTTTTTTTCCTGGTCGATCTCACCAAACATTCCAGGTCGGTGTGTATTTGCAGCAGCCGGCCGGTATCTCAGCTTTGTAAGGGGAGCGAATAAGAATAGCCTGCTTGTCTGTATTGTAAGTCATCCGATACTTGAGATAAGTGACATCAGTGGAGCTTCCAGAAGCGAGGCTGATTGGACGTACTCAAACACGGGCTCTAATGATTCACACCCCTCCGGGTTGGAGGGGCGACAGAGCCATTGCTTCCTGAGTCATTGGGGGGAGTAATATGGCAAGCATGTCAGCTACGCCCCACAGCTTATCATTAAACACCACCTCCTGGCCCTGCTTAAAATAGCCTGGAATGCAAGAGGAGGGGTATCTGAAGATTTCCCCTCCGCCCACGCAGCTTTTTTTATTTTATTTTTATTTTTAAAAGCCTCGACTCAACAGATGTTTGCCGAGAGCCTTGGTCAAAGGGGATAAAAACAAAGCCAAGGCTGTCTGCACGTTTAGCCCCCTTCTCGGTTACACATGCTCCAGTTAGTGTCGACTTCAAGTGATGGAGAAGAAGTAAAGATGAAAATCAGAGCTAACCTCCCAAACCAAAACTATCCTAAAGAATAAGAAGTTCCTTCAGAAAAAGAGGGGATAATTAAGAGCAAAGCGAGAAAGTGAAAAATGATTTATTAATTCCACAGTAACACATGGGTTGGATTTCAGTACCTCATGGAATAAGCATCTCTAATTAAAAAGAGGAGGGGGTGAGGACTCATAATTCATGTGTGGAGCTTCACTTCTGTTGCAAGACTTCTTTTTTTTTTTCCTGAGTAGTAAACACATCTCAGCATAAATGCTCAGCTCTAAAAATAGCCTAGCAGTAAAAAAAATAAGCAGAGAAAGAAATAAAAAGGCAACCACAAGAAACTGGAAAAGGGTTTGGTGAAAAGTCTAGATATAAATCCCTGTTGCTGTGTCCATCTGTGTTCTATGAGAAATTTCCAAAAGAGATGGCTTCATGCCATCACGAACCTCTTTGTGGAAAATGTAATTTTATGAGAAAGTGCAGGTTAAGGTTGTGTTTTGATGAACAAAATGTGGATTTCTTTTGTGTGGGCAGGTTGAAATGACAGGACTGTTTGCTTATGTTAAACATCTGCACAGTGTTCACACCTCTTGAAATTTTAAACGTTTTGTCACATGCAGGCATTTTGGATTTTTCATTCTAGTTTTATTTCGTTGACTTTTTGTCTGTGCAATTCAGTTAGTTTTAATTAGCTTTGAGTGCGTTTGCTAGTTTTTACGGGTTAAATATTGCTCAGTTTTAGATTAGTTTCCATTAGCTATAGCAGTAGTTTTAGTTCTGTCACACTTTGCTTAACTTTTAGGCACAGAATTCAAAAAGGTCAAAGTGTTGTATTGTGATTATTTACACATCAATTCAATTATTGTTTTACAACCAACCGACTCTGGTGTTTTCTCCCAACGTTTGCTGTCGCCATTTTGTGGAGTACCGTAAGTCCTGCCAGGAGTTTTGAGTGCCGTGATTTGCCGACAGTTGACGTGAACTGCTTTGTGTGGCAGAAAGAAAAATCTATTTCATATCAGTTCGAAAGGGTAATAAGTAGAGCAACACACAAAAACAAAAGATATTTTTTCTCTAGCTCCAGTATTGTCAGAAGTCACAACTGTATGCGACAGACCAATAAACTAGTGTATTATAGTGACATGAAAGCAGGAAAATGACTTTCTAACTTTCTTACAGTTTTACAAGAGTTTGAATAGCGTTGCTTGCATTTGTGATGATTCCCTGCAAACCAGCCGCCTTCAGAAAACACTTTGTCTACCAAAGCCAATTTTCTATCTCGCTATAAATCCAGCTATTATGTGAAAGTCTCAGTCGTTTGTTGGTGAACATTAGAGGACACAAAGCCTAAATACGTCACCAAAGATCGTCCACTGAAAACCGGGAAGGGAGAGTATAGCTAATAAATCACAAATGGAGGCCCCAAATTTGGACATTTATATATTTGTAGTTTTTCTTTAGCTGCATTAATAACATTTTATTTTGCAAAACTGCAATGGAAACACTTTTTCCTTATCACATCAGTCACATAATCAACAATCGGTTTTTGCCACTGGCAGAAACCACGAAGAAGACAACGATAGGAAATAGAGGATGATGACGCGGCATGGTTTTTAATGACATCGCGTGAACAATCTTATTCCTTTGTGATTTTAATTGAATTTCTTATTGAATAGAAACTCTGCACTTGCAAAATTGTGTTAATTTTTCGACATTATATCGGAAAATTTACAAAGTTTTGCACACATTTGTAATGGAAACGCAGCTACCGTCCGCCCTGTAAGTCGACCTAGTTCTTCTTAGGATAACTACCTGATGTGACTAGTCTCACCAACTCTCAGGAATAGATCATCCCTGCTTCATACTGAATCCAACAGGTTCCATAGCTCATGATTTTCATAACTGGAGAAAATAGAAATTCAGGTGCTGCTTAACGTCCACATTTTATTTAATCCTTTTTCTTTGAACCATCAAATTGATTCTAGGATTTCAACATGAGGAATACGTGCAAACGCATCAAAAGATACTTATAAATGCAAATTAATGTCTTTGTTTTTCTTAAAAGGGAGACAGCAGTTATTAAATACTTATAGGTCAATAGGAAGCTATCTGTTTCAGAGGTTTTTTCCCTTCTGTTTCAAATGTTAATACTGCTAATGAATTCAAACGCTTTACAGTAGGAAGGGATAAGTGGGTCAGGACTCAGGGAAGTGTATGTGTAATTTAGAGAAAATGGCAGTTTGCAAGTTGAGACAAATAAGTGAAGCCACAAGGAAGTCATTGTGTGCACAGTAAAAGCAATGAAACCATATCAGTCAGTATTTTAGCTACTGCCCAGGCCTTCTGTCTAATTTCTTATAAAACGAACTTCCAAGGCAGAGTAGTGAAAAAAAAAAAAAAAAAAGGAAATAAAGAACAAGTGTCTCTGCAGCACAGAATAAATCTGAATTGCAATTAAGTTTCTCAAGTTGCAGCTAACTACAGGTGACAGACTTCAAACGTTCAATTACGCAGCCGAGTCTGTCTTTAGATATCCCGGACCAGAACAAATGCCCTCTGCCACTCTGCTCTAAAACACACTGTAATCTGTGAAAAGAAGAGAGAGAAAAAATCAGTTTCCCTCACCTGATTCAGAAGTGTGAATTATTAAAATTAGAGCGCACTCCCTAGAGGAAATTAAACTTTTAATATATTGGGGGGAAAAAAAAGACAAATCCTACGAGGTGCTTCAGCATTAAGGAATAGCTCTACAACGAAGAGATAAAGACAGAGAAGTCTTGAGCTGGCAAGACAAAGAAATTTAAGAACAGTGGAGAAGAAAAAGAAGAAGAGAAAAAAAGGAAATGTAATTACCTCAGTGATGAACTGAACAATGTGATTAAAGAAGGCACGAGGTGCAGAGAGAGAAAAGCGGGCTGTAGCTTTGATGCAAGTCCCCTCAGACCACAGGCAGGCTGAGGACAGCTGGAGCTCTACTGGAGTCGAGACGTTTGTTCGGTCTGCCGCGGGAGATCTGCAGATTAAAAACAACAAAGAAAACATGGTAAAACTTTTCCACCAGCCCACTGACAGCGTATGCTCAACTTAAGGCTCTTGTGTAACGTAGAGACAAATACTCGGAAGATTCACTGCTAGTTTACGCTCTTCTCTTAACCATGAGACAATGTCAAGATTGTTTGGCAATACTTGAATGAATACAGCAGCTCTTGGTTTTAAGTCCCATCATACTTGTCTTTATCTGTTATCTATATGTGTATTTACTAGTTTTTGTAGACATCACACACTATGTCTATTGGGTTCCTATGCAGTTCCACTGTGCTGTTTCATAATTGTATATTGGTTGGCAACGGCCTAGGACGAAGTCAAAGAAGCCTTTTAGTCCGTGTTGGCCACTTTTTCAAATATTGAGCAATTAAAATCAGACCAATAGGAATGTTTAAGGCATTTTATTGCTGACAAACATGTTCAGTTTGGCACTTCTCTTTTCTCTTTTTGCTGTTTTTTTTTACTGCGGGCGAAATCTCAGGTTAGCTCGATAGCATAGCTTCCGTCAAGTCATGGCTAAACATTAGTGATTGGAAAATTTCAGACTTCAGAGAAATGATTGCTTGCAGCAATGACACTTAGCCATTTCTCAATAGCCGAGTGTCCAGACCCTTCTGACCGAAAGCATAGATCAAGGGGCTAGCTTTTACCAGGCTAGCTGCTAGCTCTACCCAACTCCACTGGTAGTTTGTTACTACCATTCAAATGACAAAATAGACCCCAAATTAATCAACTGGCAGGAGAAGAGAGACCAGAAGGATGGTTGTTCTGGGAAAATGTGAGAAAACTCTTACTACAAACATTTATAGATGGAAACAACTAGGTGGATGTTTGAACTTTAGATCCCTGATTGAAATGTTGGGAACCAAAAACTGTTTAAATATATGAAAGTGGATGTTGGCAACATCCCATTGAATGGCATGGAAAATGATCTGTTGAAGGTCTTGAAGACCATGTTCCGTTATGCCTTACTGACAGCTGACAGTAGCTGCGTTTCTATTCACCGTATAGTTGGACAAATTAAAATTATAAAAATAAATTTGCCTAATGGAAACATGCCCATTTCAGAAAACTCACGTTTTTTGGTAAAACGTTTTTGAGTTGGGGTGAAGAAGTTTTTTTGGCTGCATCAAAATTGGTTAATTTTGCAAATCTGCAATGTAAACACGTTTTTCGCAATTCGTGAGTCATGTGATCAACAACTGCATGTTACTACTGGAAAACACGAAGACGACGGCAGGAAGTGGTAGGATGATGATGGAGCAGCATGTTTTTTTAAATATCGTATGAATTAACTTATGATGCGTGATTTTAAATGCATTTCTTATTTAATGGAAACTCTGCAATTGCAAAATTGTGTTTCTTTCATTTGTTTTTTTGGTTGTTTTTTTTTTCTACAAAGTTTCTTGCACTTTTGTAGTGGAAATGCAGCGACTGATGCAGGTTTATAAACGTAGAGTTTGCATGAAGTACTATGAAACTCAGAGGCTGGGCTCATTCTAATATGGCAGACTTCCACTTTGTTTCTGATGAGCTTTTACTCCTACTGCCAACTGAGCTACACCTGCTGCTCATAACCCCACCAACAAGCCTTGCATTAAATAATGAGACATCCTTTCAACTCCACTTCACTTGCACCTCGACTAGAATTTAATCATTTTTGTGTCATTTCAACTAATGGATGTCTTTTTGACTCGGTGCATGGACTGCAGCCACTGCAACATTCAGCGATGAGTCGGAAAATGAAATGAAAAAAAGCAGATCTGAATGTACTGATCAAGCTTTTTTACACATCTTTGTGGGGGGCGATGATAAATGTGTGTGTGGGGTGAGGGGTGGGGAGAGTGTTTTCAAAGTGGGGGCACCAGAGGGTGCTAGCAGGGGGCCTCAGAGCTGGAGAAGATTGGCTTCCAGTCAAATTCATCAAGCTGCTTTGATTCTTAA